ATTCCTTTACTTCAAATTTGTTACAATTTATTCATTATTTAACTGTTGCTAATAAATATTTATATTAACTTTGTTTTTTTAATATTGTTGTAGCATATGGGATGACTGAACCACAATTCTACTACTATTACAACATTTTGAGGCAATGTGACAAAGAAGCAACTAATTGGTTGGATGAGATACCTAAAAAATAATGGGCACTTGCATGAGACAATGGATGGCGTTGGGGCCACATGACGACCAACATAGCAAAATCTATCAACTCTGTTTTGAAAAAAATAAGAAATCTACCCATTTGCTCCATGGTCAACGCAACGTACACCCGTTGCAACAAAATTTTCATTGAAAGAGGGAGACAAATAGATGTCATGATCAATCCTGATCATGTATACTCTGAAATTTTGGTCACAAATTTAAAGGAAGCACAAACACAGACAAACATGCATAGGGTCATAACTTTTGACAGATCTACCACAAAATTTGTAGTAGAAGAAACACAAAACCCGCATGAAGTTCAACCAGCAGGGAGGTTTGCAGTTCGCCTTGATGAGTTGTGGTGTGATTATGGAAAATTCCAGAAATTTTACATGTATTGTTCACATGTTCTTGCTGCATGCAAGCATGCACACCATGACTTTAACAACTACATTCATCCAGTATATACCTTACAATAAGTTTCAAAGGTATACGAAACACAATTTGGGTTGCTGCGAAATGAAGAATATTGACCAACATACACAGGACCTACTTTGTATGCAAATCCAGAAATGAAAAGAACTTCAAATGGCCGACCAAAATCAAGTCGTATAAGAACTGAGATGGATATTATAGAAAATCAAAGTAAGATGAAAAAATGTTCATTTTGTCATACCCCTGATCATAGCAGAAGAACATGCTCTAGTGTTGCATGTGCATCTACTTCACATCATTAGATTGTGTTAGTTATGAAATGCCTCAATGTACTATGAAACTTAGGAGTTTTTCAATTACTAAAATTTCTTCTTTACTTATTAATTTAGAGTAATTATTTTTTATTTATACAAATAAAATTATAAAATATTATATATAAACATATAAATAAATTAATTTAAATATACATTAAATAATTACAAATAAAAATTTTATATCAAATTAAAATTAAAAAAATAACTATTTATAAATTATATATATTATATAAATTATAATTATAAAGTTAAAAAAATTATATTTAGAATTATAAACTTAAAAAAATTATAATTATAAAATTAATAAAAATATATCTATTTTTAATGTTAAATAAATTATAATTATATATATATTATATAAATTATAATTATATATATGAATTTCAAATTAATAATATATATATATATATATATATATATATATATTGCATAAATTAAAATAATAATTATAAACTTAAAAATAAATTATATTTAGAATTATAAAAAAATCTATTTATAAAATTAATAAAACAAAAACAAAAACTAAAAAAATTTAGAAAAACCAATTCAGAATTCGGTTCCGAGACTGAATTCTAACTAAAAAAAATTAGAAATGATAGTTCATAATTTAATTTCCAGGGACCGAATTCGATCTGAAAAAAAATAATTTAGAAATGGTAAGTCAGAATTCAGTTCCCAGATAAGTGAATTCCAAACGTGAATAATAAATAGTAGTAAATGAATAAATAATGTTGTTCGATAAATGTATTTTAAAATGATATTATTTATGAAAAAAATTATATATATATATATATATATATATATATAATAAAAATGACATATAAAAGCTACCTTAAAAATTGGAAATAGTTTTCATAAACAATTTACAACTTTAGTAGATTCTGGAGCTGATATAAACTGTATAAGAGAAGGATTAATACCTACAAAATTTTATGAAAAAACTCTACAAACATTAAGAACAACCAACTCTGAAAAATTAAAAGTAAAATATAAATTATCAAACGCCAACATATGTAATAAAGGAACTTGTTTTAAAAATATTTTTATATTAACTCCTGATATTAGTGAAGAAATGATCTTAGGAACCCCCTTTTTAGCATTAATATATCCTTTTGAAGTATCTGAACAAGGAATAAAACATAAAAATCTTCTATTTGAATTCATCAAACCCATAAAAAATAAAGAGATACAATTAGTAAGCTGATGTAAATGAAAAAACTTTCTATTAAAATTAGAAGCTAAAAATACACATATACAATATTTAAAACAAGAAATAGCCTATAAAAGAATAGAAGAACAATTAAAAAAGCCCAAAATAATTACAACCTTTAAAAACATAGAACAAGAAATTATAAAAGAAGTATGTGCAGAAGTACCTACTGTCTTCTGGAATAGACATACTTTTGAAATAGAATTACCCTATGAAGAAGGATTCTTAGAAAAAAATATTCCCACTAAAGCTAAACCAGTACAACTAAATAAAGAAACGTTAGAATACTGCAGAAAAGAAATAGAATCCTTTTTAGATAAAAAACTTATTAGACCAAGCAAATCTCCTTGGAGTTGTGTTGCATTCTATGTGCAAAATGCTTCAGAAATAGAAAGAGGAGAACCAAGAATGGTAATAAATTATAAACCCCTAAATAAAGTTTTAAAATGGATTAGATAAATATATATATATATATATATATATATATATATATATATATATATATATATATATGTATGTATGTATATATATATATAAAACGAAGTTTGAAAATTTTGTAGGGTGATGAACTCTTCTACTCCTTCACTTCTCTAAATAGCTGAGTTTGCAATGGCAATTTGATCAGGATTCCGAATTTCATAAATTTTATAAAAAATATACTCATAAATTTATAGATTAATTTGTTATAACTTATTTAGATTTGAATTAAATAATTTAGTTTAATTTAATTTAATTATTATTATTTATTTATCTTTATTCATTTTTAACTTTATCTCCACTTATTTTAATATTCTATAGTATATATATATATATATATATATATATATATATATATATATATATGAAATTGTTTTTAATTTTTTTAATTTAAAATTACTTTTATGAAAAGATAAGTATTTGAGAAACTTATATTTAAAGTTTGTAATATATATGTGAGCTAATTTATAACAAAAATATTAAAATATTTATTTGATTTTTATAGTTAACGGTATTTTTTTTTCATTTTTATACTTAAATATCATATTTTTAGTCTTTATTCATACTGTTTTAAAGTTTGGTTGTCTAGGCCTGGCCCATAATAATTAAGAGAAATAAAAAAGAAGAAGATGTATGTATAAAAATTAAAACAAATTAAAATAGTATATGTAAGAATTAAAATAAAAAATTAAATGAGAAAGTTCATGTAACGTAATTCAATCAAACTTAAAAAATTATTATTGATTTATATATTTGTGCTACCAACACTCTTTTCATACACTAATTTTTTATTATTGGTTAAAAATCACAAGTTTAATAGATTTCTTATCTAAATTTAGAGACATAAATCTAAAATATATCAAAATTTGAAACTGTTGATAATGTCAACGAGAATTGTATGAAGATTCTTAATTCCTTTCTAATAATTAGTTTAAAAATGATATTATCCTCAAGATATATAAAAGTCTTATATTCCAAATAAAAATTTGAAGAGAAGGAATATATATATGATAAGTAACAAAATAAATTAGGTATTAAGCACATTGGTGATAACGTATCAGCAGAGGTGAATACAATAAGTGCTATCTCACTCTGTCGTTGGTAATTTTGTCTTAAATTTGGGTTTTCATAAATTGTTTTGCTGTTTTATTTATTGTTTTTTCGTTTAAATTAATTTGGCGGTGATGATTCCTTTCCATTCGGTGAATCATTTGTTGGTTTAATGATTAGTAAGTGTGTATCTTTTCGCAGAGAGAAGAGTTTTCCTGTAAGTGTCAGAATAAGTTCTCTGTTATGTTATTAGGGTTTCTTAAATTTCGCTAGTTAGTGATTGTGATCGTAAACTGTTCCCATTCAGAATCATTTTACTGTTCAGTATTGTTTTTGCCAAGTCTTATTCCGGTAGGTAAGGTTCAGAAATGATGTTAAATGTTCAGTGCATATAAAGTTTCCACCTTGCCGAGGCTTTAAATCGGGTGATGAGAAAAGTCGAAAATGAATTGCTATCTCTAGCTCTGCAGTTTTTGATATTACTACTTTTTAAATTTCAATTTGATAGTCAGTTCTGTGTTGTGGTGGTAAGTGATGATTGCCGTGGTCAGTCTAACATTCTGCGTGAATGTTAGTGGAAAAGAAACAAAATTAATCATCATGTGCGTGCTGTGATTTCTCTGCTCACTTAATTTCTGGAATGAAAAAGTATGATAACAGGGAGATCTTAACAGTCTCTGTTTTGATCGTGTCAACTAATATATGGGGGTAGGAGTAATAAAAATTTCAGGGGTTTAGTTTTGCATACAGCTGTTGCAAAATCAATGCCGGGGATCTGGTTATTTGCAGGGAAGTATGTCCTTACACGATTGGTTCTCCTTCTTTGTAGTGTTGATTGCCATAAAACCCTTACAGCTAATCTTCCAATAACTGGTTCTTATCTATGAAATTTACAAAGTTAATATGTAGGGTATTCTTGCATTCTGATATTTTCGGGGGTTTGATTTCATTTGTTGTGACCTCTTCATCTGTGCCTTTTCTGAATCCTGGGTGGTGATTAGATTTTGGTTTTCTTTTGAAGTTTTTCATTAGATAGATGTTTCTTTTCTGTTCCTTTTGTTTTATTTGGTCTAGCTTCTGTTTTTCTTTTGTGATTCTGCATTTTGGGGTCATACAGTTTTTTTATGCATTATAAGGGTCAGATTCAACTTGTGATAAGTTCCTAAGATGTATTTTCTGTTTAAATATATTCACACCTATTAGATTGAGAAATATAGCTGATAATCTTTTGGTGTTTTTATCATGCTGCAAGCATCTTTGTATGTCTATAACCTCATTCACTTCATTTTATAGTGACTCTGTGATAAAGAAGAGAGAAGATGGCACCTCAATTAGCACTAACCCACTCTTCACTTCTCCCCCTTCCTCCCTCTCCTACTTCTCTCGGTTTTGGAAGGTATTGTATCCCTCCCACCACTTACAATTCACTACGTTTGTTTTTCTCTCATCTGATACATATGCTGCTGTTGTATATTTATATTTACATTCATCATCATTATTGTTATTGCTCTTAGTTTATAAATCTATTACATCCACAATGAATTCAAACAAGCATTTCCTCATCATGTTTTGCAGATGTTGTATAATTTGTATTCTAGGAAACCCGTGTTTGTAATTCTGTGATTTAAGATGACCTAAATGTCATTAGTTTGATACTTTGATGAAATATATTATCTTTGTATAGTGAGCAATGTAACACTAGCGCTTTTGATGTAATATACAAGCAATTGTATTGAATTTTGTGATTGACTAATCGTCTTCAGTTTTTGATATAGAACGTTCTTTTCATTGTCAAAGATATTAAGGGTGGTTGGAAATAGGCAATCAAACGAGGGTTGCTTTGTATTTCATAACTCTGAAATTTGGAAGTCATGCGGGTTTGGTGCCAATTTAGATTAAATTATGAATTTCAGAATGCATTCTTTAGGTTAATTACAGGTACCTTATACCAGAAAGAACCTTAAAAACGCGAGGAATTTGAAAATCAGGGCACATTGTTAAGCTTTTGTGTAATAATTGTGTCATGTTAGAGCGACTTTTGTCAATGTATACCTGTTTGTCTCTTGCGTCAAACTAATGAGTTGGTATTGTTATATCATGGTCTCCCTTGCTTCACTATTTACATTTGAAACTCACCTTTTCTTTGTTGTTGGTTCTAACCTAGGAGTAAAGATTCGATTCCAAAAAGAGAGATTATGATAAAAAGGGTAAAGAATCATACCAGGACAGCTTTTGCAGTCCATTTTCTTCGTAAGTTAGCATCTTGCTTTGCAGAATTGTTTTTTTTTTTTTTTTTTTATTTTCTATCTGATATTAGTATTTGAAAATTTCATTATTTTGATTTTAAGTAATAAAAGAATAGATCTTTGCAAAATATTTTCTACAAGAATAACGAAATGATAAAATATTTGATACTTTTATGTTGATTTAGCTAATCTTGTCACAACATTTTGTTTACTGCTGAGACATTTTGTACAAAAACACGTATACACCATGTCATCTAAATGCAAATCTTTTTTCAAATGGTATGTATCAGATAATTCAGCTATCCGACTCACTACTGGTTCATCTCCACTGTTTTCTGATAAAGAAGATCGCTTCTCACTCAGACCTCCTATGTCTCAAAGATGCAATTCTAAGTTCTGTGGACAAGCATTTATATATCATTCATCTGGTTTCCGAATCCCAGCAAATGCGGAGAAGCCAGAATGGTGGTGGAGGGCTTTATCCTGTATTCCCTATCTAATAGCATTGCAGATGTCTGCAACTGGGTTTTATCTAGAACCTATCATTCAAAAATTTCCATTCTTTCAGGGTTTGATTTTCTATATCCCAGGAGGTGTCAACCGATTACCAATCTGGTTTCCTATGTTATACTGCTATCTGGCTATTGTAGGAGTGGTAAAAAACAGGGACTTGCCCCTTATCTTCAGATTCCATGTAATGACGGGAATGCTACTGGAACTTGCTCTGCAGATAGTGTATATTTCAAGCAACTTCATGCCACTTATACACTTCCCGGGGGGAACATTAGGGTCGTATTACTGGGCTGGTGTGGCATTGGCATTTATATTTATAATGATAAAGTGCATAAGGTGTGCGCTTCTGGGAACATTTGTGAGTATCCCTTTGGTCAGTGAATCAGCTTTCATTCATTCTCTATTCGGTTTAGGAGGTTTACAACGGCCTTTTTAGGATGTTTTGATCAAGAGCATATGTAATTTATAGGTGGTTTTGCAGTTTATTCAACGGTTCTCTGTATTTCTTGTAGTTGATTTATATTGTTGCCTTGATATAATGTTTTCTTTTTAGGATTCTTATTGCTTCTCTTGTTTTTCTCGTCTTTCCTTGCGAAAATTTGAAAGGTTGGTATTTATCTGATCGTATGTTTAAAAATTAATTAAAATCTGGGAAGTCATTTCATTTTATTGGATTACTAATGTTTGGTAAAGTTATCTTGTAAAATAGTTGATAAATGTAAAATAGCAAATAGGAAGTGGAGGTGTTTTCAAACAACAAAGGGAATTGAGTCAACGGGAATTGAATAATTATTTAATCAAATGATATTTAACACTTTTCTCGTGTATTCTTGAGAAAAATGGATTTTAGTCCATTCAAGGATTATGTCAATTCAATTAAAAATGAGGATAGTACGACTTTGTATAAATTAAATTTAATTTAATTAATAAAATATATTGTTAGATAATTATAACTCTTATTTTCACTGCAATTATTTGTAGATATATAAATTGTTTAATTGAATTTTTTTAGTTTTGACTGTCCTATAGTTTTTCTTAGGGATTTTAGTGTTGATTTTATATATATATATATATGGAAGGAAATTTTATCAGGTACTATAAAATAAATCAACATACACTTAAGTAAATGTCATCTTTTTATCATTTTGATTGATATAATAATTAAAAAATGTTGTTAATATAATTAAACTGTGTTTGAATAAAATTTGTAAGAAAAAAAAGTTACATAAAAAAGGTACGAAGGAAATTTACTAAATACTAAAAGGGTGAAAGGTCATAAAATATAAAAACAAGAAGTTAACATTTTAGAAAATATCACTGAAAACAATGTTTTACAAAAGTTTTAAGATACTAAAGTTAATACATTTTAATCTCCACATATATCATTTTAATCTGTATACCCACTATTTCTTCAATAATATAAATTCGTAGATACTAATTGAGATTAGAAATAGCATATAAAAATTAAAGGAGACGGTTAATAAATATAAAAATTTAAAAGTAAATTTTGTTTAACCATACAAAAAAATAATAGTTAAACCTAACATGAAACAACATCTATCATGAAATAAATCAAAATCACTTCAAAATTGTGTGAGGGTTCTGTCAACCAAGATTGTGATCCTCCGTTAATCCTCCACACATAGTGTCTTATGATTAGTAATGCTGTTTTTACCATGTCTGAAATTAATCTTAAATTATTGTGATCCATCTATGATGTGCTTGTGATCATAATATTTGTGATTGAACTATGGTTTAACCGACAATCCCATAGGACATACACGTAAATGAAAGTAATTCACGTAGACTCTTCGTTTTTCTCTCAAGAGGAAGCATCAAGGTGAGTGAAATTAAGTTCTGTAGCTGATGAAGATGAACCAGTCCATGGAACACCTATTGTTAAGCTCAACCTTCGTGTCTCACTTGCTGTATTTTCATCAATTTGGCTGTAAAACTCTCTCATTACCTCTAACCTCATCTCATCCATAACTTCACTAGAATGTGAAACAGACTCTGGGACCATTGTTCTGCCCTCAAGCATGCTTACTACTGAAGACATAGAAGGCCTAAGGCTTGAAGTGACATTGGTGCAAAGGAGAGCCACTTTGACAATCAACATTACCTCATCTTCATTGAAATCTTGACCCAACTTTCGATCAACTAGCTCCATTATGCCACCTCTTTCTTTCAACAAACCTGCCTGTTGAAAGAAAACAAAAAATTGATTTGAGAATCTTATATATTTGAAACACAACCTATGGCTGAGTAGCAATTTTGTAACACTGTTGTAAGTGTGATGATTACAATGGTGTCATTTGGATGACTTAAAGTTAGTAATTTTTTAGAAAAATCATAGAAAGATGAAATGCATGCAATATATTTCTTCTAGAGTGGCAAAAGATGCGGAAAAGTATATTTATTACGAATATTCAGAGAGATATGAACAATGCAGAATGTTGACAATAGAAGTTACCCAATCCAGAAGATAGAAATCTTCCCCCCTTGACTGCCAAATAGTGTTTCTCTTTCCACTTACAATTTCCAAGGTAACTACTCCAAAACTATAAACATCTGCTTTTTCAGTTAGATAACCATGCATTGCATACTCAGGAGCCATATATCCCCTGCAGAATGAAATACAAATTCTAGTAACTTATTGTTGAACAAAACTCTGGCTTTTTGTCAAAAGCCTTCGTAGATTGAATTTGATAACGCTTGTCAGTGTGCAATCACCTTTGAAAAATACATCTTATAAATATCTACATAAATTAACCTATTAGAGATCATATTTAGTATAACTTTTAAATGTAATGATCATCAAAGTCAACCAACTTGTCATGGTGATTTATGATTGAATGGAAGTGTAATAACTTTATACTAATAGTTCATATTCTATTTTTCTCAAAAAATATAACATAGAAACTCACCAAGTCCCTGCAATTCTGGTGCTTATGTGTGTATTGTCCCCCTCACGAAGTCTGGCCAAACCAAAATCGGATATTTTTGGGTTCAGGTCTTCATCAAGCAACACGTTAGAGCTCTTTAAGTCTCTATGAACAACTTTCAATCTTGATTCTTCATGCAGGAAAGCTAACCCTCTAGCAATGCCAACACAAATATTTTGTCTGGTTGGCCAATTCAATTTTAAATGACTATGTTCTGAGTCTTCTGTGAGTGACAAAAATTAGACAGCAAGTCATTAAACCGTCCGTGTTAGTTTTTAACATTGAAATGCCGCACAAAATAGAACCAAAAAAGAGTATATTAGAGCAATGACTTACCAAATAAAGCACGTGCAAGGCTATTGTTTTCCATATATTCATATACTAACAACAGTTGATCACCCTCAACACAACAACCATATAGTTTAACCAGATTAGGGTGCTGCAGAGCAGAGATCATTCCTATCTCATTTACAAACTCACGGCTTCCTTGCTCTGATGTAGATGAAAGTTGTTTAACTGCTATTGGTTTGCTGTTTGGCAGAATGCCCTGCATCATGGCATACATATTTGTGGAATTTTAGTCTTTAATAACCATAAATTCAATAAGATTAAACAAAAATATTATATAATTGGGGTACCTTATATACAGGACCGAAGCCTCCTTCTCCAATCTTATTGGAAATATCAAAGTTATTTGTTGCAACTTTGATTTGGTGCAGGGTAAATACATCAGTTTGCAGTTCTATATCCCTTAGATCTGCAAATAAATGATATATATATATATATATATATATATATATATATATATATATATATATATATATATATATATATATATTATCCTATGAAATTTTTGTGTCATCATGCTTTTGGAAGAAAAGTAGTTATTCCACCATCATTGTTCAGAAAAGGGGGGAAAATTTGGATATCATTGTTTTGATTAGATTGTCCATTCATTATGAACAAAAAACACCTTGTTTTGTGCTTGATGATTCTCAAATGTTTCAGATTAAAAAATGAAATTCATTATAGCAAATATATTGTCCTTACCACCAAAGTGAGCCAGGTAGTTTGAGTTTGACCATAACCCCTCTACCAAAGTATGCCAACAAGAATCAACAAGACAACAACCACTAATGAAACCCCTCCACCAAAGTATGCTAACTGTAATGATGATGACAAAAATCACCGATACAACTGTAGTTATAACAACTCTTGTAGATACATGATCCTTTGAGTATTCTTTTGTTTTGTTCCTGGTTCCACCCCAATCTGTTTTAGAATACAGGCATATATTATATAAAAAACTTCAATCAATTTTTATTTTTGTAATTAATATATATATATATATATATATATATAACAAAAATATAATAAAATATTAAATACCGATAATATCTTAATCTTAACTTTCTAAATAAAAATATCAATCTAATATATTTTTCTATTTATCCAAACAAAAACTAAAACATAAAATTTTTTTAATAACTAATTTAAATAAAAAAAAACTAAAATATATATTCTCAACTTGATCTTCTTTATTTGTTTTTTCTAAATTTTTCGATAATAACATTGAACTTTTGATATATATTATATATATATATATATATATATATATATATATATATTTTTTTTTTTCTTCAAAAGATATTCATCATCATGTTTTTCTTTTGACTTTGATTCTTCTTTTATATCTTTATTTGTAACTAACACTTCTTTCATCCATGTTTAAAATAAAACTGTCTTTCATAAAAATTTTGAATATTTTTAAATTGTTTGCATCTTTAATCTTACAAAATTTGTATTCAAAAGGCATTTCATAATTTTTCTTTAGCAATTGAACAACACTTAACAAATTTTGATTCATCTCAAAAGTATGTAAGATACAAAAAATTAATTTGACACCTAATGATTTTTTATTACAACTGTTTTTGTACATTTCCATTCATTTGTTTTGCATTCCCAATTCTTTAGAAATAACATATTTATTGAGTTATTTGAAAAGTTATCCATCATCAATCATGTTGAAAATAGATGTTCCTTTTCTAGGTTTTCCTCTGCAACATTGATAACTTTTGATTGATGTTGAGTTTCACATATCACTTCTACATGTCCCAATTGATCACATTTGTGATATTTCACATCTAACCTCTACCAACACTTATTATGTGAGTGATTATTCTTTTTACAATAAAAATAAGGCAAAAAAATGTGTATTGTTATTTTAATTGTATTTGTTACCCTTATAGTTCTTAATGGGAAAGACACTTTCAATAGGATGATTTGGTAAAGCACTTTGATAACACAATCTTCTATCATCAATTTTTGTTTCTCTCATTCTTAGAGGACATGTAACACTTGTTCGAAATTAATCTCAAATAGATCCTTTACATCTTTTAACGAAACAATAAATGTTTTTTATCTCTCATTTATTATCACTAGAATTTTCTAAACTAGTATAAAATCAGGAAACTCCTTACATAACAATTTTATCTATTTACCAATATTTTGCAATTTGTTTGAGTATTATTTAATTGTCTCAAACTCTTTAATCCTTTGTAATGTAAATTTCTTTATCAAGTTAAGCATTTTTATTCTTTGAATTTTCTCGTTTCCTTCGCATTTTTCTTTAAAATAATCTCAAATTTCTTTGAATGACTTTAAGATCATGATTCTAGCAAGGATAATTTGCAAAATACTAGCAAACAAACATCACTTTATCTTTTTCTTCTCTGTTTTTTCGTTTCTTTTGATTTTTAATTTGGACTATGGTGAAAATTTTAAGATAAACAATGTAACCTTTTTGCACAACTTCCCATAAATTCAATTGCTCTAGATAATATTGCCTTCTTAATGCTCATATAAGACATAACTTATGCCATCAAAGAGTAGAATAACAACTCACCAAAAACTTTCTTCTCCTTCCATTCTATATTTTCGTAAGAATGATGAATCTATATACCAATTTGTTGGTTTTTTGTGTTTTGAAAATATATTTTAGAAAGATAAGAGATATAATACGTGGAAGAGTTTTATTAATATTTTATTCATATATATATATATATATATATATATATATATATATATATATATCAAAATATTAAATACTAAAATATTGCAATCTTAATGTTTAAAATTAAAAGAATAATCTAATATATTTTTCTTTTTATTTAAACAATATTTTAAAAACTTAAACATAACAAAAAAAAACCTTCAAATAATTAATTTAAATAAAAAGATAATTAAGCATATATATTATCATATTTGATTATTGAATAAGAACTACGTGAATGAGACAATACCATAAAAGTGACAATCCAAGAAATAAAACTTACATGAAAACCCATCATAGTAGACAGAAATGGCAGATACAAGAGGACCATTTACTGATTTATATGGTATATTTGTTGTCCCTTTTCCAGCCCAGTAGAAGCGGATCTCTAGGTCATTACCACTCACATTAGCACGAAATTGTTTTATGAGTTCCTTTCCAACACCTTGTGCTTCAACTGCAATGTTAAAATCTTTCAACACTCGCTCCCCCTACAATATTTCAAATACAAGCCTAAATGAGTTTTGTTAACAAATCCTATTTAATACCATGTTTATATTACATGAATTTATATATTAAAATACTTGAGAAAACTAATTAGAGTTCAAATACAGTGCTCGAGAAAACTAATTAGAGTTCAAATACAATATCTAAAGATACGGTTATAATTGTATTTATAGAAAAGGGATACAACAGAGAGGATATAGACCTCAGTCCAAACCCTTAATCCTAGCCTAAGGAACATATAAAAAGAAGAAATAAAAATAGGGAAACAAACATGTCTCAACCCTCCCTCTCAAGCTGAAGCATATAGATTGTATGCACCAAGCTTGAAACATATGAACTAAATCCTAGGTTCTCTCAAGGATTTAGTTAAAATGTTCGCAAGTATTTTAGAGAGCGGTAAAGGTGTAGGAGAGATCTTGCAGTGATATGTGAGAAGATGAGGAAAATCAGTATGACCTGTAGACTAGGTTAGAGAAGGATCAAGTATTATAAGTGGATCACATAAAAGTATAGAACATGTTGAATAGAGGAACCATCATCCATAGAGGAAGAAAAGAAGGGTGTGTCCTCAAAGAAGATGATATCAACAGACATATAATACCTTTTGATGGATGGAGAATAACATTTATACCCTTTTTAAAGGCGAGAATATCTTAAGAAAATACATTTAATGACCTTTGCACTTAGTTTATCAAGACCTGGAGAGACATCATGTACAAAATAGGTACAACCAAATACACGTAGAAACACATGATAAAGAGAATCATCTGGAAAGATAAGAGAATGTGAAATTTGATTTTAAGAGAAGATGTTGACATTCGATTAATAAAAGAAGAAGTAGTGAGAACTGCATCTCCACAGTGATAAACAGGTACATTTGCATTCAACATTAGAGAGTGTGTAGTCTCAATAAGGTGCCTATTTTTCCTTTCTGTGATACAATTTTGTGGTGGGGTGAGGACAAGTTGATTAATGAAAAATTCCTTGGGAAAATAAAAAAAGAAGAGGAGGAGGCAGAAAAATACTCTTTGGCATTATCATTTATGAGAACTTTAATTATTTTCCCAAATTAATTTTTAATTTCATTGAAAAAGGACATAAAAATTGATAAAAGTTCAGTTCTATCTTTCATTAAACAAACTCAAGTACGTTTAGAAAATTCATCAATGAAGGTCACAAAATACCGAAAGCCAAATAAAAGACACGACTATGTCCCCAAACATCAAAATGAATATTTGAAATAGGAAAATTACATTGAGTTTAAGACTTTTTAGAAAAAGTAGACCTAACATGTTTTCCTAATTGACAAGATTCATATTCTAAAACTCGAAAGTGTTTAAGATTAGGAGTCATCACTTTCAACTTAGATAAACTTGGGTGGCCTAGACGATTATACAAAAGTTTAGGAGCAGGAGAAGCAAGACATGACACCGAAATACTTGGATTCAGATAATACAGACCACATGATTCATATCCAGACCTGTACCATGTTCCTAAATAACAAAAAAATTGGAATTAAAGGTTACCAAACCATTCAGAGAGCGAGTTAATTGACTTAGAGAAATCAAGTTATAAGGACAAATAGGAATGAAAAGAACAAAGTTTAAATTTAGATAATGGGTTAAAGGAACTTGGCCAACTCCTTGAGATTTCACTTTGGATTCCATTAGCCACAGTAATCAAGTGAGAAATTTTAGGATAGGACATGAAGGAAAATGAGGAACTATTACTAGAGAAGCTCAAGAACTTTAGGTTCCACAAACTACCAGAAGATTGTGTAATGTTGAAAGTTTATTTTATCCCATTGAGATCTTTCTGAAGTAGAAATAGAGTTTACATCATTCTCCTGGTTGTCATGATACCCCTGACGTAGAAATCATAGTTCAATAAATACAGACCAAGATAAATAATTTTTTCAATTGAGTCTAGCACTAGTTATGGCGGGAGTGGTTGAAGATATTTGAACTAAAGATGACAGATAACCAGCCAAGAGAGGCATCCACGGGACCTAACTCTCAAGGTTCCCAAAACAAAAAAGTATAGGCTCAAAGGGCGCCAACGAGACAAGCGGTGGTGGTTGGGCTTGCTTTCGGCCATTGGACGGCAACGTGTGACATACACATGCCTGAGGGGACACTCCGGGAGGATCGTGTGTGACTGCACGTGGGACAGGGGATGGAGAAGTGATTTACGGAGGTGGGTCGTGTTCCTCCAGGCACATCGAACCCAACCTTCGCCGACCAAAAATAGAGGCAGTGGTTGGCAACAACGATGCTGAACAATGGCCCACGATGGTTGAAGGTGACAGGGATGATCGGAAATCAGTTCGCGATCTTGTCCGCTCTGATACCGACTTGAGAAAACTAATTAGGGTTCAAATACAATGTCTAAAGACATTGTTACAATATTGTATTTATAGAAAAGGGATACAACAGGATATGACCTCAACCCAAACCCTTAACCCTTAGGGTTAAGGACCATCAAAAAGAAGAAATAAAAATAGGGAAACAAACATGTGTGAACAAAAATAAGTCCAATAAAGGAATCGAAAGTCTAAGAATTGATTGATGATAATCCTAAACAAACTAGTGACTAGTTGGTTAAATTCCTGTACCTGAATGTATACATCAAATACACGCCTCCCTAAGTCGCTGTATGTGTGATCATCCGTGAACATTATCTCAGCAAAGTGAAGTTTTACTGTGTAGACTCCATTTTCTAAGCAAAATCCATAATAAGTCAAAGACATAGGGGAAATACGTGCTTTCTTATATAATTCAGCATCAGTCATGTAAAGCCTAGTTTCATTTTCTGTGGTATAGTGTCCTGAAGGAATAGTATTATTGTCCAGGAAGTGACCCGTGTTGCTCAATGCCCAATTGTTTCTACTTAGTTGATATACTGCAGGTCCAGCTGGATATATATCTTCATCATATGTTATACCTCCAATAGTAGTCTGATTTCCACCACAATTTATATGCAGAGATTTAACTTCTGGAAGGGTCAATATTCAAAACCATTACATCAGTCAAGAACAAAATGAAATGTAACAAGGAAAGGAAATTCATTCAAATTATATTATTTCATCACACATTATTTGTATCTTTTTTTTTCTCTGCTCGCCCTAGACATGCACATAGCATTAGTTATAACACTAGGGGTGTCAATTTCTTTTCTGTAGTTGATGGTCATTGGTGAAAGAGGTAAGGAATCAAGACAATAAATATAAACTTAAGTTGTCCCATTCCATACGTTGGCAAAACAGAATTATATCTTGACAAAATTAGTAAGGCCATTGATTTTACAGAAGTTACATATTTTGTTAACTTACTTTTGGTACAGTTTCTATTGCTACTGTCACAAGAAACTGGTCCTCTGCGAGAGAGCAAGAAGTGCATAAAAATCATAACTTAAACAACTTAAATTGCACAAGAGAAAGAAAAAGTGAAAGAGTCTATATCTACATGTTATAAAAGTAGCACATGAGATATAAAACTTACTTATTCCTTGAAAAGCTTGCAAACAAGTTCCTATGACATAGAAAGAGATAGTTAACGCTAAGATAATTTCATGAGTGGCAGAAAACAACAAAGAATATGAATGTAAGTTTTGTACATATTTTGTTGGTAGCATGTCTTTGGCTCTTGGTTTTCAACACTAAAGTTGTTATACGAAAGATCTCTGCATAATGGGGAACACGTTATTCAGAAACTTAGAAGATGATAATAAGTTCTTTAGGCCAATAAAATTACTATTTTTATATAAAAATACTTCATCGCTTTACTTTCCAAAGGAAAATTTACTACTTGAATGCTTGACCAACAAAGTAATAAAAAGATTTATAATCAACATAAGTTTTTTGCTAACTATAAAATAAAAAATAATTAGTTTTTGGAAATAATGTTTCATAAAACATGAAACATTCCACTAACATTTGATGATAATGAGAAATGATAAACTATGATAATAATGATGTTTTGAAATATTAGTTAAACAAATCAATGATTGGAGACAAACATTGTTGAGGTCATGGAAATCCAGACAGTAAATGAGGTGATTGTGAAACTAAATTCCACATCATAACTTATTTGATTATCCTTATTTAAAATATTATTTTCTTTAACTTATCAGGATACTCTATTACATCTTATTTATTGCAGAAAAATTATACACAGACTAAATTCCTGCATGAGATACAAAATAGAAAAAGTAAATTTAGAGTTTCAAGTATAAAAAATGAAGCGGTGTCGCTTGGGTAGGAGAAAAAGAAAATAAGTGAATGTAATAATTCTACAAGCACAAATATCTAAATTATTCCAGGGGGTATATCTAGTAGTAATGTGCAAAATAGGACTCACAAATTTCTGTTATTATCCATTGTCCACTTAGGCACCGGTCCAGTGAAGAAGTTTCCTGCTAAATATCTAAAGCAATTTTTTTATCAATATCTACAGTAATATAATATACAACAACCAAAGCTGAGAGCATATCAGTTACTGATGAAGATATCAAATGATAAATAAGCTAGCCATTTGTAATGATTCCCGATCAAGCTTCATTTGAATTGTTCCAATGATCCTCCTCCTAACATAATAAGTTATTTTGCATACATATCTTCATTTTATTAGAGATGTTAGATCCAAAGATTTATACATTAACTAACAAGAGAAACCATGTAGAAACCTAAAACTTATTGTCCTACACGATCTACATACAGAAGAACCATGGATCTAGACAAATTCAAATGAATAGGTCAGAGCTTTTAAGAAGGTTCAATATTTGATGTGTACGTTCATTTAACATAACAAAACAAAGTATATTTATGAATATAATTTTTTGGTAAGTTTTTCGTTTGTTTAATTATTGCTTGGGAACTAGTATAATTCCGGTACATTAAGCAACTACTGCTACTACATAAATCTTAGGTAGAAACTATTTTTTATTAAGAATTTATTGTAAAAATTATGTGCTTGAATAGTTTTTTAACATAAATTTTGAATCTTTAAAATGAAGGATGTACATTAGAAAGTAGGGTGAGTGAACAGAAAATCAAATTGATTTTATCTTCATACCAATTACTTGTTATCAACATGCTTGTATTCGCCGTTAATTTTTTCATTACCTGTTTTGCAACTTATTTTCCAAATTGAAATGTGCACTTTGTATAGGATCCTGATCCATTGAAATCTGTTACAGACCCAACAATCCATATAACAGACTAAAGAGAATCAAGAGAAAAAGAATATTGATCTTAGAGGATGGAAAAAGATTTAACAGAAACAATTAACTTCTTCTATCACAGAACAATGCTCCCACAGAATGACTACAACACTCTGCTCATATAGACACAATAAGAGAATATTTTTCTCCCCTTCACTCTTCCCTCTCTCACTCAAATACTCCATAGTACTCATGATACAGTTACACTGTGCCCACACTACCAGTCCTATCAAATACAGCATGATAAGAACCTGTCAAACAAAGACTTCCCACATGATTCATAGAATTACCCCATTTTATCATAAATTTGCCTTGGTTTACTTAAGCTACACTTCCAAGATGTCAATTACATGTGTCTGAGTTGAGCTTTACCTTCAAGGACTCGCTAGTTAAGAAACAACTAATACAAAAGCCAACCTGAATTTGTTATATAAAGAGACATATCAAGATATGATAAATAGGGAAAATGGAGTATAATATTTGAAACCTATTTGATTATTTATAAATTGATAGTGGCTTCTGAAAAGTCAGCAGCTAAAGTTTTAGATACTATCTTATTTTATTCAACAACCAAAAGAATATCAGTCCCTGTTTTGGACTAAAATTAATTGGAAATGTTAAAAAATTCTTACGTGTACGTTGCTGCTATTAATTCTTGAAGGTTTCCTGGCACTGGTCCATTTAATTTGTTATAGCTTAGGTCTCTGAAAAAGAAATTTTATCCAGAATATGTCAAAAAAAGTACTAAAGAGAAGAAAAATTAAAATTTTGGAGACCACAAGAAGCATGCTCATGTCATCCATCACAGAGATTAGTATACAATGAACAGAACAATTTAATTTGACACAGTTCAACATGCAAAAGACCTAACACATACATTTGTTGGATCTGTGTTTTCCATGAAACTCACTTATTTGTTCAAGTATTTTCATAGAGCTACAGCCTTTCAATGATCTGTTTGGAGATTCCATAAACACTTCTATGAGAGAAAAGTAAGAATGAAAAATAAAATCAACTTCCCGTTACTAAATTAATTAATGTATAAACTAATTTGGAAAAATATTTTCTATTAACTTCTCCAAAATCTAATTTTTGGCTCATACATAAGTTAATTTTTGTTTAAGAGAAACTAATTTCATTTTTACTTTTTTATTTTTCTTTTATAGAAATACATATGGAGAAGTTAAGTCAGAACAAATCCAATATTATAATTGGTTAGACATGCCAAATTCTAATGACCTTAAATGATCTTAAAAATAGATAAACTTAATACAAGAAAATTTTACTATCAATACAAAATGTCAAGGAAAAACAGTAAATTAGAACTTACAAAACATTCAAAATCTGCAGGTCTGCAAGATATTGAGGAAATGTGTCATTGATATTGCAACTCCTTAATATCCTGGTAAATAATTAAATATATGAATTCTGCGATAACATATAATCAATATCTCATCATGTAGATTTCGTACTTCTCAAATCAGTACTTATAATGAGGCACTGACTTCAAAGAAAAGATCAGAATAAGACAATTATAGTCGTTCACTCACAAAAGATTCAGATATTTCATACTTTCAAGCCGTGGGAAATTTGAATCAGGTCCATTCAAGTCACTAATCCTCCTGTATTTCATATTTTAAGGAAGAGAAAAATATGGTTAGAAAGAAATTTAACATTGAGGCATTAGTTATAATTAAAGATTAAAACTATTTGTTTACTCTCTCTTATTGTCTCTATTTATAGTTTTAGACCTTAAAGAAGCAATAAGTTTTAATTTTTGTATCAGAAAACTTATGAATCGATCTTACACCACCAGAAAATGTTTTCTGGTCTTAGCAATAGAGACAAAAAAACTAAATTTTTATGCATATCCGCAGACTTCACTTATAATTTTCTTATATAGCAACTACACCTTAAAACAAGACCAGCCATAAAAGTTAAATAAATTGTTTAAGTTGATATAAAAGAACTTACAATTCGGTTAAGTTTAGAAGTGATATTCCAGGAGGAATTGGTCCACTTAAACCACTCCCTTGCATATGTCTTCAAAATAATAATACATTTTGATCATATTTAAGGATCAATAATTGAAATAAATTCAAACTTCAATGAATAAAAGGAGAAAAAGCAAATGGTTCGTACAGTTTATCAAGATTTGTCCAATTTTGAATCCAATCAGGTATGTTCCCAGATAACTGGTTGTCACTAATTCGGCTGCCACATGTGAGAATAATCACGCAAAGTTACTATCAGTTCTGACCCAAAATTAAGAATATAATTCATAGTAACTAAAAGAAATTAAAATAAGAAATCATACAAATCCTTCATTGCAGTAAGACTGGAAAGCTTTTCTGGCAATTGACCAGTGAAGTTATTGGAACTTAGATACCTACAGTAAAAAAAGTCATCAGCTTTGATATTTTTTATTATTATGTTGCATGAATTTAACAATTTTTACATACAAAACATAGGTAAAACATTTTTTTATATCAAACAATAATAAATTAAAATTAGAGAAAAAAATTCACTTTCATTGTCCTGACATGACATCTTGATTGTTGAAGACTCAACAGAAAAATTGAATAAACAATGAAATAGTAGTTTTTCTCAATAACACGGACAATTAAAATGCAGGGCTTACAGTTGATTAATGAGGACAAGATTTCCAAGTTCTGAAGGAAGATTTCCAGATAAGCTATTGAACTCAAGGATCCTATGCATTTGAAATTATGTTATATTGAGATATTATACACAGAATCTCTGTCAATGAGGAAAAGTAGAACCTCACAAGCGTGTAAGAGTGATGAGGTTTCCCAGCTCTTTTGGGATTGGACCAGTTAGTCTGTTTCCAAGAAGTGAACTATTGGAAAACATAATTAGATTCATGTAACATGAAACAATGTATTTAATGAAACTCACATGAATTTCAACAAATAGATATAATGTTTGAGATAAAAATGTTTCACAACACAACTCACAACATAAAACAATACCCTTACGTAACAATATCATATGTTAAAGACATCTAATGAAAATAAATTCATAAGTGGAAAGAGAAGCCAACATTTTTTGAAGGTTGGAAGAGCCCCATTCTCTAGGAATTGTACCACTAAGGTAGTTGCGACTGAGTTCACTGTACGAAATTGAGGCAAAAGACGAAGAAAGAAATGCATCAGATTCATGGTGAAACGTTAGCACACACACTAGTTCACTATCCTGTAAAGAAGAGTTTTAAATACATTTCTTGGAGATAAGGTAATTTGTTCAGTTGTGGGGGGAGACTGCCTTGAAGACTCTGTGATTTCAGAGCTCTGTCATAAAAAATGGAAAAATAGTTAGAAACACACACACACACACACACACACACACACACACACATATATATATATATATATATATATATATAAAAGATGAAAAACAAGGAACATTTAACTGCTAAATGACTCTTGCAATTCTTGTTTTTGTTCGAACTGAAATACTAATTCTAGTCGAAAAAGAGAAAAAAGTACTCTCCCCACAGTGACCATCATTTTCACATCCACAAAATCCCAAATCAAAAACCCTGTTTTGAACATGTGAAAGAAATTATGATCCAAACAAATTAAAAAATTTGTTGCCACTAAATAAATAAATACTGAAAATCGATGAACTCACTTTAAGACTATTTGTTTCGGCTTATTTAATTCATAATTTAAATGAATTTAGAAATATATAAAATAATAATTATATTTATTTAATTTAAAAATAAAAATAATATGATTTAAATTATTATTTTATTTTTAAAAATAAACTGAAATAAATCCTTAATCCGAAGGACTTTAAATCGAACCTACATTTTGACAATTGTAGATACCATGTCACACACAACATAGTTAATAAGAACTTAAAAAAATAATAGAAAAATTAGGTCTTAAAATGAAGATTTTTGTTAAAACCCTGCATTAAACATTCTCTAAGCTATGGTTGACCATGTCAAAAAAAAATTCTACCATCATTTAAAAGAGTAAGATTAACTCTACATAATTTACAAACAAAATCATGAAACTCTACTGATATCAAAGAAGATAATGAATTGAGGCTGAAAAACTGGTAATAGAAGGAGAAGCTAAGCAATGCAGAACTGACAAACTCTAAAAAAAAAACTGAAGACACGGAAGAGAAAGGGACACACATTTTCTCAACATGGCAGAAGCTGTCATTGGGTACTTGGCAATTGCAATAAATGGTATTGTCTCCTGACTGGGTCTGGTTGCATGGATGTACATCGAAGTCCCAGTCCTTTCCCAGTGTTTTTGCTACACTTTTCATCACTGACACTACAATAAACACACAAATTGAAGTTCAATAACCAATGCCATCACTTCAACAGTATTTTCATTTGGTATAAGAAAATGATGCATGCATGCATGTCTACCTTCATACTGCGACAGTGTGGTGGCTCCAAAAGCAAGGCATGTGAAGCAAATTGGAAGGAGTGAAAGGAGGACAAAACGAGAGGAGATGATGGTGTTCATGTTGGTTGGCATTGCAATGAAGAAAGTGAAGAGAAGAATGATGAGAAATGGGACATTAAAGGATGAAGGAGCGAAGCAGAGTCCAGGGAAGACTTTAAAGTCTCTGCAGCGTGTTAATCAAGGATCACCAGCAGACTCTGTCAACCTTTACACTGTTACCAGCTAAGTCTTCGTTTTTCTTCAAAAAATTTCCTCCTTATATATATTGTTAATATCACACATTTAAATCGGATTCAAAAATAATCCTTTATTTTGAATTGTTTATTGTTTATTGGACTGTCAAATAATCCTCACCCATTCATATTAGAAATCATTTACTTTAGTTTTTAAATTATAGAATATTGTAAAACATTGTAGCTTTTTAATTAACATTAACGATTAAGCTGAATGGTAGGTTTGTTTGTGAAAGTAGAGATTAAAGTTATCCTTTTAACAAATCAACGATTTAATAACTACTAATGTATTCTTAAAATTTAGTCATATTTGTTCAATTATTTGAGTCAACATTTTGTCATTCTATTACTTTTTGTGTAACCTTTTCATCTGTTTTAAGAAAAAATTATTTTATTTTTCAAAAGAAGAAAGAATTCAAAGCAATCAGATATAGAAAATGGAAGCTGGTAAACAGATTTAAAATCCAATTATTCCCCTTTGAATTCGGACAAGGATTTTTTTTCAAACCAATAACAGCAAGGGTTGAAAAATAGTAAAACAACCAAATATTAGTTGTTTTTTCTTTCTAAAGATTTCTCCATCTTAAAAATGAAAGACACAACAGTCAATCTCATCCATTAAAATATATACTTTTTTTTATTTAATCTTAAAATAATTTTTTTAAGAATAATTTTAATATTTTATAGTCATTTTTATTTAAAATAAATTCTTATATATTATCATTAAAATATAATTTAATTTTTTATGTTATAAGTACAATTTAATCATTGTCTTTTAATAAGAATTTGATTAAAATAAATATAAAATATGAAAATTATTTTTAATAATTTATTTATTTATTAATATTTAAATTTTAATAAAAAAAGTTATAGTTAAATTAAATTTCTGTTTTTTTCTATGAGGCCGCCGCCTTTCCTTGTGTCTTATTATTGTACCGTCTAAGTTAAAATATTAGGGTAAGGTGTCCAGATTGGGGCCTTTCCGGCTTAAAGAAAGGGTGTGCGATTTAATTTTTCTAGGCTTATTATGAATTAATTTTTGTTTTCTATGCGTTTTATATTTTCTGAAATGTATGACACGTTTTTCCCTGTATTCCATATTTTCTTTCTCCATTTCCATAATATACGTAAAATAATAAAAATGCTCTTGTGTATTTTTTTATCCCTAAATCCTAATATGATATAATTTCTTCGTTCTTCTTTTTGCTCTCGACCTCTATAACCTTTCAAGTTTCACTCTCATCAGGTAGTTTGTTGTTCATGGCTTATGGTTTGAATCATATAACCATTTTAACACGTTATCCATCCGAAATATTCGTTGTACGATCACATTTGCATATCTTATGTTATGGATTATTCAATCACAATCCAAAACATATTTTAGATAGATAAATTAATCAAGAAGGTTTTTGAATTTTATTTTTATTGTTCAATCCAAAAATATATAGATGAACTTCAATTTAATTATTTTTGGAACCTATTAGTTTGAATATGATCAAGATTAAGAGAGGTGATTCTTAACCCTCAGATCATGTATAACCAAGCCTTTTTAAAATGTAGGACTCGTGGTAGGATTCGTGGGGAATCAAACAATATTAATGAATATTAACACAATATAAACGAGAATGATATACAAGAATAGCATGAAAAAGCTCTAATAAATCATAAATATTTTCCATGGGAGCGTATTAACACTTCATTACAAACAATATATATATATTATGTAGCTTTCAGCGGGAGGGGTGCTGAGTTGATTTACCTTAAATAAGTTAGTTTGTAATTATGTTAATGTGCCAAAATCATATGAAAATAATTGTTCTTTCGTGTAGGATCGTGACAACTTGAAATATGTCTCTTGACAAAAAGATAAATATGTTGGGAGCTCCAGATCTACAAATTGCGACCATAATTCAATTATCTATGTTGGAGGCACTCGTGTATTATAATTTGTTTTTGTTGAGAGGTGACATAGTAATACTAACAACTTTCATCTACCCATAAGTGAGATGACAACCACATCAAATAATATGTCCTTATTATTGTACGTGTCAATTGTGGGTCAATTTTATACTTATATTCACTTGGATGCACGAGAACCTGCAAAGGTGTTGGTGGAGTAGTTAGGAATTGATTTTGCAATGACTTTTACAAAGACGAGACATTGTAGAAGGTGGACATGTCTGTCTTAGTTGGTTGTGAGAAGTATATAATGAACCATTGTAGCTAAAACATATTTTATGTATCTTGTGGGTTATACTATTTTTGTTGAAAAAAATGCGACTTTCGCTAACGTATTATACTTAGGCTTATTAAACATCTTAGCACTTGTGGTGGATATTCTTAGGGAGTAGTTGCACTCACTCATATTTAAGAGCAGCTTGATAATACATACTATGCAAAGTTATTTATACTGGTTCGGATGAAAATACCTTACGTCCAGTTGTTAATCACTCTAAAAGATAATTAACTCAATCACTATAATCGCAGTTACAACAGATTACAAACTGCACAAAGATAAGGATTAGAAAACACCTCTCTTGAGTCACACAAAAGATGAACACCTCCTTTGAAACCACAAAGGATGACAACAGCTTTCCGAGAGAATACACAACACACAATCCATCAAGGAACCCACTTAGTAATTCTTATCGCTTCTAGCCCACACTAGGTTTTCAAAAGCCCTTTTTCTTCCCTACACAAAGTTCTCTAGCAATCACATCTCTTAATATTTGTATGAAAAAGGTTAATTGTTCAGAGAGCCTTAGAGAACCTTAAGTAGAGAGATTTAGGGTCTGGGGAATAGAACTTTTCGAAAATAAGAGTATTGGAAACAGGTGCATCGAAAATTGGTCCAAATTCAAAATTAAAAAATCATAAAGACGTAGATAATCGATTATCTTAAGTGATAATCGATCATCACAAAGCCATTTTCGCAGAGGAGTAAACTAGACTAGGATAATCGATTATCCTCTGAGATAATCGATTATTCCATAGTTTTCAAAAAAAAAATATGGGATAATCGATTATCAAGCCAGATAATCGATTATTCCAGCAAGTTTTTCAGAAAACATGTTTTAAGCAGGATAATCAATTATCCTAAGTGATAATCGATTATAACAGAGTGGTTTTGATAGAAATGAACTTTCAGAGGAAGAACTATGTGCTGGCTATCTTGGACTCTAATTTTACAGACTAAAAAAAAGATAAAATAGAGTTATTACAAGTAAATACAAATGATTAAAAATCTTCAAGACTTCAAATCCTTGTATGTTCAACAATCTCCCCCTTTTTGATGATGATTAAAATATGCTTTAAAGCCCTTTGTAATAACCTATTTTTACTGTCACAACTAACAAAAATATTAAACATACTAGGCTTTAAATATTTTCTCCCCCTATTTTTATCATAATCAAAAGAAATTAAAGCTCCCCCTCAACATATGCATAAGAAATTAAAACTTCCCCTTAAAATGTGCAACATATAAATAGAAGTTGATATAAAATGTAAAACATATAAAATAGATATCTTATTTAAGTTTGAGCAAAACAATACAACATATAAACAGAAATTCCTAAGCCTAGAATTCTAAAATTCTTCACTATCCAAGTTAAATTGCATATCAAATCTGTCTTCCATATTTGATACACGTTCATCTACATCCGAAATTCGATTTATAACTTATTGATGACGTTCAACAGAGATAGAGAAGAAATCCTGCATTCATTGGTTCATGCTAACAAGCATATCCTCAATAGAGGAGTGGGGATCAGCATGAGCACCAGATGAAGTTTCGCTGATAGGAATATCTGCAACATACATTTCTTCATCATCAGAATCTCCAGCAACCTCAACAGCATGGGGAGCATCATCTTTATGAAAGTGTGTTCCATTAACATTTACCATCTACAGCTGAGATAATGTTCCATCAAGCATCCGATTGGAATTTAAAGTCCGAGCTCGTTGTTCACCTTCAACATTAACACCTTTATATTCCAGAATCCTGGAGATAAGAAGTGCATAAGGAATCTTAAAGGTGGGGTGACGCTTCTCTTTGAGTATAGTCAAAGTAACAAGACTAGGCCAATCAATTGGCTTGTTGTTCATAATGGCATAAATGATGCAGAGATCAGTGGTAGAACATTGAGCATGATTGGTGGCTCAAGGACAGAGTATCCAAACAAGAAGATGAAGTAACATACGTTCCTCTTTCTTCAGAGGACCAATCAGATGTTGTCTATCAATCTCCATGGCAGGATTATGGAGGAATGAACGGTATGCCAGAATTTTGTTGAATTCTTCTAGATCAGCAAGAACGTTGACAACATCATCTCTAATAGAAAAATGAGCAAATTCTCCCAAATGTCATCATCAAGAATGATGGTGACCCCTTTTACTCTGGAAGTGGCGACATTATCTCTGAACTTGAAATGGGAATAGAAGACTTTGACCAAATCAGGATAGTAGGTGCCCTGCATTTCAATGAAGAGCAGAACTCCTTGTTGTTCAAGGAGATTTAGGAAATTGAAGCCCCTGTCAATGAAATGATCACCAATAAGATACTTAGGAGATATAATACTCATTTCCTTCCAAAAATTTAGATATTCTTGTCTTTCGTCATCAGAGATTCACCCTTCAATAGAGTTAGGGCAGGGATGAGATGCAGGAGCAGATCTTCTCCTAGTTGGAATCTTACGCCTAGAAGAGGAAGCCATTTGGGATGAATTTAAGGTTGGAAAGATGAAAGTTTATGAAACTTGGAGAAAAGCAAGAGCTTGGAAGGATACAAGAAGGTAAGAAAAGCTTGAAATCTATGTAAAATGCTCAGAAGTGAGGCAATAG